GTACGTACTACTACGTACAGATACGTACGACTTACTTTACGTTGTACGGTACGGTACGTAACGACGTCGTACGTACTAGCTATCTTCTATATATATATATATATATATATATATATATATACACTTTTATAAACAGATTAAACTATCATTCTAACATATCCATAATAAATTAAAATGGCTAGAATAATAAATATTGAAAATGGTGCAATATCTACTAAAATCCAAGTAGTATAAGTATTCTGATAAAACTTTATACTAAAAATTGCTTTTAGTTGCATTAGTATAACAATTTATTTTATTCATAACAAACTTTAATCATAAACAGACTTTATTCAAACTTTAATCACAAACAAACTGTATACAACAGACTGTTTACATTATACAGACTGCAAACAAAGACTAACAAACTGTAGACTGTATTCATAACAATTAACGGACTGTATACATAATCAAACTGTAAAACAGACTTACAGATTACTCATAAAGGAAAAAGATCTTACAACTTACGGATGCAATAGCTGCAGAAAGCTTTCCACTCAAACGGACAATAACTAGGTAGACTGTCTTGATTACAAGCACACATTTACACTCTAAGAAATAGAAAGAAGGAAGATAGAGAGAAGGAAGGAAGATAGGCTCTAAGATTCTGAGCTTCTGATTTCAAGCCTGTTTCTTCATGGAATGCTTCGATCTTTTTTATAGAAATGGATTTCAATTTTTTCTTCTTATCAATTTGTTGTTTTTTGCAGGTGTCTTCTGATCTTCACAAGTGGTCGGTAGGTGATCTGGAATCTTCCAGATGGATGAAGATGAGGGAGATAGAATCTGACAGTGGCAAACAGTGAAATGACATCTTTTGTTCTTTCTCGATAGTGGAGGAGGAATCTGTCGTCGGCTTGTCTCTTAGTGGCTGATGGAGGAATCTTTTTACTGTAGCTATGTCGGTGATTTGTCGTTTATTGATGCTGGAGGGGACAACTGTATCTTTATGAATCTTTTTGTTGGTGCTGTCATGGATTGCTGATATTGACTAGAGATGCTTCCGGAATTGCTTATTGGTTTGGACCGCGTCGGGCTAAGCTTAATATAGGGTCTGCTTTTGAGAACAACCATGAGCTGATTAATCTTGTATTTCTTGAACTTCTTCAATAGTGAGGTTTCCTTCTTCTTCTGTTGCTTGACTCTCTGCTAATTCTGCTTCTTCTTCGAATATTTTTAATAACTGTTTTTCCAATTCATCCTTTTTAGCTTTTGGCTTTTTCTTTCTCATCATTCTAATATAATCAGAAAATTTATTTGGGTCATCATAAGAATATGATCCTAAATTTGTAGGTATTAGTTTCATCTTTATTTGGGTAGGTTCAAGATTGTGGTATACAAATATGTCCTACCATTTGATTGAAAATTTGTTTCCCAATGCATGGAATATATTCATAATTATTGTATATATTTTCTGATATTGAAAAATTCCATTTTAGTATCCAAGGAATTTGATAAAGAGCCATAAAATATAGATGGTAATTTATATTAGGATCTTCACCATTGTATTCAATAAATCTTGCTTGGGATACTTGCAGCGATTCAACTAATATTTGGGATCCTGATCCCCATATTGAGATCCAGTTTTGGAACCAATTTGGAAAAGGTTCATTAACTGGCATTTTGAATTGTATAAACCAAGTATGGGAGTTATAAGGATTTTGGAGGCACAAAACCTTATGTCATGCATCAACATATTCTGAATGTCTGTAATATTTATTTGGGAAGTCTAGAGATTTCAATAGTTTTGACTTGGATGGGTTTGCATCCCATTCATTGAAGAATAATATTTTCCAAATCTGTAATTTTGAATATTGTACTATTTTTGTATTCTTCTGATAATAATGAGTAATTGAGACTGAACTGGTTTCAAGAAGAATGGCGTCATACCATTCTCTGGTCTTAATCCCATTGGACGGATTAAGATTATTTAATAAGTACATGGCTGCAACTGTATTAGGGTTGTCCATCAGATGTCTATCTTCGATTATAGAATCAACAATAAAGATAGTCTCTTCATACTGAGATTTACCAGTAGAAGATTTTCTATTTGGAATTGGTGATTGCAAAAACATTGGGGTTTGATTTGGAGAAGATTGCTGACTAGAGTATTCAGGGTAAAGGTTTATTGGAATATTTGGGTTGCTGGGTGAATAAGGTGCAAGTCTTACTATGGGTGATTCTGAAGAGGCTGGAATTATATCCATTGGTAATTTGCCTTTGCCTTTTTGGCTAACCATATTCTTATTCTTATTAAAAAATATTAAAGCTAAAGATTGGTCTTGTGGGTCA